CTGAAAGAGATCGTACTGTTCATAAAATAGCAATATATTAAAATCTGGGTATAAGTTCTCGGTGACTGTATAAACAAAGCAACACAAGGGACTTATCTTGCTTTGCTTGTGAGGCAGATTTATCCCACTTCATCTTTTAAGAAGTGTTGTCTGGTGTATAAACAGGTTCCGTGTACGTGCTTAAAGATCCTATATGTCGAGGCGGAGGAATACATGTAAACAAGAACAATGGCCTGTGTGACGCGGCAGCCACACTAGGACTTGTTTACCTGTCATCCTCGTTCTCTTTTGTTACTTTTTGTTATTGTTTTTGCTGTTGTTGTTTTTGTTTTTGTTGTTGTTGTTGTTTGTTATACTCTTACGTGATACTTTGATCCTAATACGACTAAGGATGAGGGAATGATGGTAGAGATATTAATGGATAAAACTGGGGCTATGAGTACCAGGAGAAGACAGAGATTACGAGAGAGATGTAAATATCTAGAGGGATTGATAAGTAAGGGAGGGCTGTAGTTGCCATCCCGTCTGACCTGAGAATGGTGCCATGATTTGATAGGGTGAATGATAATCCTCCGAGGTTAAATGAAAAAAAGAGCTTGAAAGTTATTTAATAAAACTTAATATATAACGTAACTAGATTAAATTTGTTCTGAAAATCTTTGTGTTTATGTTTGTCTATGTTTGTGTTTGTCTGTTTTTGTGTTTCTGTTTCTGTCTATGTCTGTGTTTGTACCTATGTTACCTTCAATACAAAATCCAGTATTCTATATAATGTATCGCTTACCATTGACTAATAAGTATAATAACAATATTAATACCCCAGATAATAATATTAAGCACTCACTCCCTAAATCAACTTGTGTGTGTGTGTGTGTGTGTGTGTGTGTGTGTGTGTGTGTGTATCCTGGCCTCGAGGTAAGTCATCTCCATAACATTATTGTATTACTGTGTTGGTCGCTTGTAATCCAATACGTCCAGAGATGATTCATTAAAGCAATATGCTTAGTGTTCGTAGGTGTTTACAGTGATGTGTTTACAGTGATGCATTTACAGTGATGGGTTTACAGTGATACGTTTACACAATGATGCATTTACACAGTGATGGGTTTACAGTGAAGCATTTGACGTTTATAAAGGATTGTGTTAAATATTTAGCACTGATAAAGTGATATATATGTGTGTGTGTATGTGTGGACGGTGCTCTCCCATATGATGCTTGTGTTCTCTAAGTTCTTGAGTTCATCAGGAGAAAGTTTGCGTTCTCTAAGGTAATCTCGCATTCTCAAACATAATTCCACGTTATTTAATATAATCTCACATTAATTAATAAAATTTTGCTTTCACTATTATAATTTTACGTCCACTAATATAATTTTACATTCACTAATATAATATTACGTTCACTAATATAATTTTACGTTCACTCATATAATCTCACACGTTCACTGGGACTGACCCCTGGGTTGGCTCTGTCAGGACGGAGCCTCACGTGAAGTTTATGAAAAATCAGCGTTAAGTTTGGCCAACATTTTCCTTGAGCCAATTTTAACTTCTCGGCGGGAGATAATTCCTTCATGAAGCCCTGACAATGTGTGTGTGTGTGTGTGTGTGTGTGTGTGTGTGTTAGGGGAGGTGTATGTGTGTATGAGGGAAGGGTGTGTGTGTGAGGGGGAGGTGTGTGTGTGTGTGTGTGTGTGTTTTCGGGAAAGGAGGTAGAGGAGGTGATAGTGGAAGAGGATGGAGGGGGGGGGGGGTGGGGTCGGTGGAGGAAGAGGAAGGGAAGGAGGAAAAGGGGGGGGGAGATTCTACTTTATTATATCTATTTTGTATAAACTGTTTCTGGAGATAGAGAGATACTTTAAAATGAGAAATATCATTCAATTTTTTTCACTGAGAGACAACTGACGTAAACTTTATTCATCACGGAGACACAACTGACGTAAACTTTATTCACTAAGAGACAACTGACGTAAACTTTGTATTCACTGAGAGACAACTGACGTAAACTTTATTCATCACGGAGACACAACTGATGTAAACTTTATGCACTGAAAGACAACTGACGTAAACTTTATTCACTAAGAGACAACTGACGTAAACTTTATTCACTAAGAGACAACTGACGTAAACTTTATTCACTGAGACACATCTGACGTAAACTTTATTCACTAAGAGACAACTAACGTAAACTTTATTCACCACTGAGTAACAATCAATGCAACTTTTCCAATTTTGTCCGATGAGATTTTTGTCCAGATTTTTGTCCGATTTCCTCCTACATACCCAACGAGGTTCATTAGTGTCGGATTTCCTGACAGAGTAACGTGAAACTGACAGTAACAACCCATGATCTGCCCCCCTGACACCATACTGTTGGAAGAGACACTGGCAACCCATGATCTCTCACGTAACCTAACCTAACCTAACCTAACCTAACCTAACCTAATCTAATCTAACCTAACCTAACTTAACCTAACCTAATCTAACCTAACCTAACCTAACCTAACCTAACCTAACTTAAATCCCAATTTTGAACCAACTCAATCTCAATCCCAATCTAACCTAACTCAACCTAACCCAACTTCTAACCTAACTTAACCTTTTTTTTCCACGATGTCGCTGAATAAGAGATTAGAATCGGTATCAGGGTGTGTGTGTGTGTGTGTGTGTGTGTGTGTGTGTGTGTGTGTGTGTGTGTGTGTGTGTGTGTGTGTGTGACCTTTTGCAGGGTTTAGAGCAGCTTAACAAATCCAGATTGTATTTTTAATGCCTAGGATATTTATCGTAAACTAACTTGTTTGAAACCATCGTTCAGTCCCGGTATATCATCTTTTACCTATACATATACATATACATATACATATACATATATATATATACATATATCATGAGTAGTAGTGAGGTAACTGAGCAACACAAAAAATAATATAGAAATGAAAAGAGAAATGTAGAAGAAATGAGAGAGAGAGAGAGAGAGAGAGAGAACAAATAACAATAAAGCATGTATGTATGTATGTATGTATGTATGTATGTATGTATGTATGTATGTATGTATGTATGTATGTATGCATGTATGTATGTAGGCTATGTATGTATGTATGTATGTATGCATGTATGTATGTAAGAAAGAAGACACAGACACACACATCATCATCATCTACCTGAAGAAGTAAGACAAAAGCAATATCTCTAAACACTCACCTACGACTTTGAGGTTGACCCTGACGTTCCTGGTGGGGGAGGACCTGAAGTCGACTCTACAGCGGTACTCTCCCTGATCGGAGGGTTTGAGAGGGTTGAGTACTAGCCCTGGAGGTCGCGAGGAGAGGTCAAAGTAGGCGCGACCTCCCAGTACGTCTTTGTCTGTCCAGTGCTGAGCTGTACGCACTGGCCCGTTCCTCCCGTCAATACTGTTAGGGTGAGACACGAGAGGTTAGGTTAGGTTAGGTTAGGTTAGGTTAGGTTAGGTTAGGTTAGGTTAGGTTAGGTTAGGTTAGGTTTGTCCCCATTAGAATATCTGGGCCTAATGGGACAAGGAAGGCCATTTAAAACAGGCTAGGTTTGGGTAGGTTAAGTTTGTCCCCATTAGAATATCTGGGCCTAATGGGACAAGAGAGGCCATTATAAAACAGGTTTGGGTTAAGAATGTGGCTCATTATGATGGGTTTAGGAGAAGCAGGACCCATTATATCAACGTTTGTATTAAAAGTGGGACCCATTAAGACAGATGTTGCGTTAAAGGTGGGGCCCATTAAAACAGAGGTTATCTTAAAAGTGGGGCCCATTAAGACAAATATGTACGAGTATCAGAACTGGGGCCCATTAAGACATATATATCAGAACTGGGGCCCATTAAGACATACATGAAGGCGAGGCTTGAGTAGTGTAACTTGAGCAGACTCGGCCATCAAAGACGACCATCTCCTCTTACCTGCCACCAGCTGCCTGTGTTTCTAAGTGACCAGCTGTTTAATCCCCGCCTCACTTTCTGCCTTCCACACACACACACACACACACACAGATACACACACATATATCAGCAGTCCTAACTTACACATTTCTGGCTTATCAGGTTTGTTTCACCTGTATATGGGCATAGTTCACCTGTAAGAGAACACAACTCACCTGTATATAGTGTGTATCTTACCTGTATAAAGGTTTAGTACAGCTCTTACCTGTATATAGGGGTGCTATGGGAGCCCCTGTAGAAGAGGACGAGGATGGTCTCGTCATTGGGTATAGGAGGAGTCACCTCACACGGCAGCAACGCACGACCTACTTCCAGCGCCTTCACCTCCGTCAGCGGACCTGCAGCAGTAAGGTGTTCAATTAGTCAGGTGTTCTTGGGGAAGGGGGAGAGGGGATACATTTTTAACTATAATTTAGTGTCTTTGTCTGTCTGCACATCAGTACCTGTAACTAACCTAACCTAACCTAACCTAAGCCACGTCAAACAAAGGCAAAATCCCACCAAATTATGATCCTATGTAGAGAGAGAAAGTTATACCCTCCCAAATATATTTACACTTCATTCTTCAATACAATTTAACAAATGAACAAATTTCAATTACACCTGAATGTAAATTATGCTGCACTGAGCGGAGGGGGCGGTCACTGTATGAATATGTTCCACAAACGCAATTTAGAATCTTGGTCTGGTTTTTTTTCATTGATTTACCTGAGTTTATTGGACCTGTGCTAATGCATATTTAATTAAGAAAAACACTGTTGATTGCATTGACAGCCGTGTGGAGGGCGGCAGGTAATAATATCATCTTGTGTATAGATGAAGTGGAGTGTTATATCATGTTATCCTAAGGTGATCGGGAGAGGTGGAGTGCTATATCATGTTACCTTTAGGTGAGGTTGAAATGCTATGATTATTATATATCATCAGGGTTAATAATTCTACGCTAATATTACCAGAGCAAGTTGCAGGTGTAACATTTCATTAATATAAGGCTTTACTCTCTCTCTCTCTCTCTCTCACACACCATCTGGTAAAAGCTCTTCCTGTGTTCATCCCATACCAAGCTAACTTAAACGCCATCTACAGGGAAACTTTTTCCTATTTATTTCAATGTGTTTCAAAATGTGCGTTATAATTTTCCCTTTTTCGTCACGTTTTAATAATCGACACAAAACTCATCAACTCTCCTGAAATGCGACTTATTTATTTTTGTATTCCTTGTAATAAGTTTTTCATGACCGTGTGTGTATAACTTATTTTCGCATTCGTTAACTAAGTAATACCTGGTCTGTGCTTATAACTTATTTACCTGAACGCTCTTGTGAAAATTGATGTCATGTATAATGCAAGTCAGTTTAGTGAATGAATAATGGAGCATAATTTACATACGTTAAAACTGTGAGTCGTGCACTTTGTGATGTGATAAATTAAATATAAAGGCCATGTAAAATCTAGTTCCTGGAATGAATAGCAGAGTAAACCTAGATGAGCCGCCAGCCAGGATTTAACCCGGGTTGATCTGCGTTTAGTGTCAAGCCAGGCAGTATAGACTCCTGTCCTGGCAAAGTTAGCGGGATATATTGTTATAATGTATTATTGCGCTACGAGTATTCCATTTGAGTCGATACACTAGTCATCAACAAGTAAATAAAAAGAGAGATATAAGAACAATGAGTGAACTGTCTCGGGTATGTTATGATGACCTGTGAGGATAAGAATGGTGTGCGGTGGCCGAGTGGATACAGCACTCTACTCCTGTCCTAAGGGTCGATGCTTCGAACCCACCGCACTCCTAGTCCACCCAGTTGTAAATGGGTACCTATTATAACTTTAGGGTAAGCGATGGTGTTTGAGTGTAGCTACGGCCACGATGCCTGCTCGCCTCCTCTCATTTAACATACTTAGTTCTATCGCTGGTTCTTAGTGGCCAGCCATTGTAGTGAGGATTAGTTAAAATGAATCCGAAAATTACCAGTTTTACGATAATTATTGTAGAAATACGATGCATGTAGGGTCTAAATTAGCGCCACATCATAGTTAACCTGCCAGCAATGTCCTGTTTGTGTGTCGTGGTGTATGTCGTGCAGTGTCGTGGTGTATATCGTGCAGTGTCGTGGTGTATATCGTGCAGTGTCGTGGTGTAATATCGTGCAGTGTCGTGGTGTATATCGTGCAGTGTCGTGGTGTAATATCGTGCAGTGTCGTGGTGTATATCGTGTGTCGTGGTTAGTGGTGTATATCGTGAAGTGTCGTGGTGTATATCGTGAAGTGTCGTGGTGTATATCGTGCAGTGTCGTGGTGTATATGTCTCGTGCAGTGTCGTGGTGTAATATCGTGCAGTGTCGTGGTGTAATATCGTGCAGTGTCGTGGTGTATATCGTGCAGTGTCGTGGTGTATATCGTGCAGTGTCGTGGTGTATATCGTGCAGTGTCGTGGTGTAATATCGTGCAGTGTCGTGTTGTATATCGTGCAGTGTCGTGTTGTATGTCCCTCCCTCACTCCCTGAATGGATTTACAATATTCAACACATTTCAAGACTTACTGGGTTAGTTATGTATTTCAACTCTCCTTCATGTTTTATGTTTCTCTTCCTTCATTTATTATTCAACGAGTGTAAAAAAAATATATAAAATAAACATACTAGAATAATTCATGTTTCCTTGTGAATAATAGATAATATAATGCATCCCGACAGTATATAAATATCATAGAGAAATGTTAATACGACCTAACATAAAATATTTACTGACCAGATCTGAGAATAATATTATATTATATTATATTGTTCTTGATATTGTATTTTATTTTTGTTTTTTTATGATAAAAGTCAAATCAGATAAAAGTTAGATTTTTTTTAATAGTGTAATTTAACAAAAAAATATATAAGAAGAATGACTTATTTATCCTTTTTTTGCAGATTTATTTTTTTGTATTGGGAAAATGTTAAATTCTGTATAATTTATTTTAATCAGTAGAACAATAAAGACTTGACATGGTTTATCATTCACTATTAAGTTAAGTTTTTGGTCTCTGTCTGAAAGTGAAGGTAATAGGAACGTAAAAAAAATTGAGATAAGTAATACGTCAGGTTTTCTAGGCTATTACGCGCCCCCTCCCAACCCCCCTCCCCAAATTTCCCCGCCCTCCCAAACCCCCCCTCCAAAAAAAAACAACAACATCAACATGTATTCACCAAAATTCACCAATCATACAATAAATGTTCATTAATCAGAGTGTTCACAAGTCAATTATGGTGTTCACCAATCACAGTGTTCACCAATCACAGTGTTCATCAATCACAGTGTTCATCAATCACAGTGTTCATCAATCACAGTGTTCACCAATCACAGTGTTCACCAATCACAGTGTTCACCAATCACAGTGTTCACCAATCACAGTGTTCACCAATCACAGTGTTCATCAATCACAGTCTTCACCAATCACAGTCTTCACCAATCACAGTGTTCATCAATCACAGTGTTCATCAATCACAGTGTTCATCAATCCCAGTGTTCATCAATCACAGTCTTCACCAATCACAGTCTTCACCAATCACAGTGTTCATCAATCACAGTGTTCATCAATCACAGTGTTCATCAATCACAGTGTTCACCAATCACAGTGTTCACCAATCACAGTGTTCACCAATCACAGTGTTCATCAATCACAGTGTTCATCAATCACAGTGTTCATCAATCACAGTGTTCACCATCAACATTTGGTTCCTCCGTGTTACTCACTGACGTAGTTAAAATGTTTTCGTCTTGCAAGTTTTGAATTTCCAAAGTAATTTTCATTTTTAAAGAGAATAATATGGTGATAAATGTGACACAGTTAAGAGTACATTTAGGTGTGTGTGTGTGTGTGTGTGTGTGTGTGTGTGTGTGTGTGTGTGTGTGTGTAGTGATTCAGATTAATGGTACCAAGTGAAGCCTTTAGTCAGTACAGTAAAATTCCTCTCAGTTTAATCCTCTCTCTCTCTCTCTCTCTCTCTCTCGTTCTGTAAGACGCATCGCTTAAAGAACAAAAAAAAATAAATCCATCGATGTTTAGGATATTTCTATAATATTTGCCTCGTTTTCTTTAGTTTATGCTATTGTCTGACACGTTTTCTGTTGATCTCTTAGCGTTTGACCCATTTTCTATTGATCTGCTATTATTTGACCCATTTCCCATAGCTCTATATTATCGTTTGACCCATTTTCTATTGATCTGCTATTATTTGACCCATTTCCCATAGCTCTATATTATCGTTTGACCCATTTTCTATTGATCTGCTATTATTTGACCCATTTTCTTTATCTCTTGTTGCCAATATACACCATAAATCCCCAAACAATTCCTCATTTGTCGAGTCATTTTTAGGCAAACTTTTTTTTCCCTGCGTCGTGGCTGTAATGAAGGGCCATTAAAGTCTTCATTGTTGGCTTTTGCATGTGGCTCAAAGTTTTTATCTGAGGTCTATTAAATTATTCAGCAGGTAACTTACACGTTCATCACGCACACTGTCGACCCTGTCCTGAGCTGCTGTACTGTAGGTATGTCTGTCTGTCTGTCTGTCTGTCTGTCTCACTTCCTTGTTGTTGCTTCTTATTCTCTCTCCCTCTCTCTCTCTCTCTCTCTCTCTCTCCCTCTCTCTCTCAACTTATTGTAAATTTTCTCTGTTGTTCAATCACACTGGCTGGCACGATATTATATCTTCTTATTCTTTTATCACGCTTTCTTCTTTCTCCCTCCTGCTCTCTATCTTTCCCTTCCTTCCTTCCTTCCTTCCTTCCTACTTCTTTATTCACTGGATTTTTTTTCTTTCTCTCCTTTCCATCATTCGTCTCAGCTTTATCTAGTTTGTTTACCTCGCTGAGTTATCTGTGTTTCCTATTATTCTTTTACCTCTGTCGTCCACTCTGTAAAATATTATCTTCTCAACATCTACGAAACTTTTATATACAAGGTTTACTTCCAGGACACTAGGTACTACACAGGACGTCATCCTCTTTGTTAACATTGCTCAGTTACGTCTGGCAGCTCGGTACAGGAAGTATGTTAGGGATTTTTTTTTTTTATATAATATTCCTTTAGGTTCCGGTAATATTTGTATTATAGTTCTGCCGCTCAACAATTGAATTTAAAAGTTACTTGTAAATACTATTTGGCCATATTATAAAACGGAAGATTTTTATTAATAAAGAGATTATGGAAGTTTTAAACCGCTGCCAGTCAGATGTTTGTATTGCCGTCTGTGTTGTTCCTGAATATCATAAAATAGAATAACATGTATAACACCATAAGAGACTTATCAATATTCCCTGGGCTGCCAGACTGTTCTGCTTTTATTCA